AATGCCATAGCTCCACACGTCACATTTTGTAGTGTAATAAGCTTGAAAAATAAGACATTCGGTCAATAAACTTGTTTGCTTTCTGTGAATTATTTAAACAGCTACGAGTGTATACTGTTAGTATTACTTGATTTTCAAAGCAATTCAGACACAGAATAGGTTATAATAACTCTCCACGTTATAGCTATCTGGAAAATAACTCAGTGATACCTTTAGAAAATAATTCAATTGCCCACCATTTCATTGGTATGGTTTCTATTGTACACAGGTATTGTTCATCTGTTTGTAAACATCTCGACAGACCAAAATCGGCAACTTTGATGTTCTCTCCTTTATCTACTAGGCAGTTACGAGCAGCCAAATCTCTATAGAGGGTACGTAAAAACAAGTATAACGTCAAACTAGTAAATATTCCAAACATTTGGGATATTAGGACCGTCATATTACCGATGTATAACATTTCTTTCTTCGAGATAAGCCATTCCACGGGCAATATCTCGACAAAATTTGATCAATTGATTTCGACTCGGGTCGTTTTGGGGATTTTCAAGATAATTACTCAAACTACCTTCTAAAAACAAGTGAAATGAAAAAAGTTATTTAATATTAAATAATGCACATGACAGTAAGCATCCTTGTTATACGGTTTTTGCTCACGGGAAATAGGTTTTTTCTGTGAGGAACAACTAAAAACATAGCCTAACATTTTTTCTGCTGCACATAGAAACTGAAGTGTTTTGGCCCTACTGGTAGAATTTTTCAAAAATTATGGCCATGTTCATGAGAATCTCCCAGATGTTGTTTTGTTTCATCAAGATCTCTGGTATATCAAACTTTATTTTCGACTTCAATTTCAATACGTACTTTCAACAAGTTCCATAACAATCATAATGGGATCTTTCATTGCGGCTATTCCGATAAATTTGACAATATTTTTATGATCATATTTTGATAACATTAATGCTTCTCTAATAAAGTTGTTTTTTTCTTTGCGGTTATCTACTGTTCTTTCGTTTAGAACTTTGACAGCCACGGGCATGTTTTTATATTGTGCTTTGAAAACTTGACCGAAATGGCCCTAAAACAAAACATTAGAATTTCTTTTACAAATCACGAATATTTCAAAGTATATATTGTCGCTGATTCAAAACATACTATTCCAAGCCCTTCGTTTCCTTTAACGTCATCGTTATCAATAATAAATCGACGTCTTACTGGCCTTAGGAGACGTGTACCTGAATAAAAAGCAGCTATTGTCTACAAGTGTCGAATAGTGGTGCAAATGCTTTACCATCATTCTTTAATGTTAATCCACTGTTGATGTAATACTCAATTAACTCATTTACTGATGGTTTAACTATGCT